CAGGGAATATGCTAATTAGCTGAGTGTCACAACTGCTCAGGAGGAGGCTGCATCACGACTGCTCAGGAGGAGCTGCGTGCGCAGATGGGCAGGAGGGGACTGCATGCCGCCCCCACCCCAGGCCCTGCGGGGAGGCTGGGGCTGGTGGCAGGCCAGAGTGGAGACACAACACACAGGAGGCCTGCCCCCACCCCAGCCGACACAACGCTGAGGCCGGGGCTACGTGGGTCAGGCGCAGGTCCAGGCCCCCTGAGGGGCACCTCCTCTTGCAATTTCAATCGCGTGCTGGGCCTCTAGTCTACACTAATAAAAGAGAAACATGCAAATTAACCATCACTCTGCCACTCCGCTACACCCACCAGCCAATCAGGAGTGAGTATGCAAATTAACCCAACTAAGATGGAGTGAGCAGGAGGATTGGGTTGCCCCTGGCAATGGAGGAAACCAAGCTTCCTGCCTGCCTGGCTGGTCCTGGGCTCTGCTCAAGGCTACAAAGTTTCAATTATAGAAGATAAATAAATCCCAGATACCTGCGTACAGCCCACCCTGGCCTCTGCTCAAGGAGGCGCTGAAAAAAAAGAAAAAGAAAAAAAGGAGAGGCTGGAAGCTTGGGTCACCGGGGGGCGTGGTCAGCCTGAAAACGGCCATCAGCCACTCACCCAGGCTGGCCACACCCCCATGGGGTGAGGATCCCCGCTGGGGGGCTTGGCCAGCCTGCAAACAGCCATCAGCCCCTCACCCAGGCTGGCCAGGCACCCTAGTAGGGACCCCCAGCCTGATCCAGGACACCCTTCAGGGCAAACCAGCCCGCCCTCACCCATGCACCAGGCCTCTATCTATACTAATAAAAGGGTAATATGCTAATTAGACTGGGAGACCTTCCAGGAGACCTTCTGACATTCTTCTGGACAAAGCCATGGTGGTGGGGCTGAGGTAGAGGTGGTTAGAGGCCAGGATGGGACAGCAGTTGTGGGTGATCAGGCTGATGGGGGGTGGGGCCATTGGGGGTAAGCAGACAAGCAGTGGGGCCAGTTGGGGGTGAGCAGGCCATCAGTGGGGGTCAGTTGGAGGTGATTAGGACAGCAGGGGGGCCCAGTTGGGGGCAAGCAGACCAGCAGCGGGGCAGTTGGGGGCGAGCAGGCTGGCAGGCAGAATAGTTAGGGGCAATCAGGCAGGCAGGCAGGTGAGTGTTTAGGAGCCAGCAGTCCCAGATTGTGAGAGGGATGTCCGACTGCCAGTTTAGGCCCGATCCCTGTAAACCGACAGTAGGACATTTTTTGAGGGGTCCCAGATTGGAGAGGGTGCAGGCTGGGCTGAGGGATACCCCCATGCATGCATTTTGTGCACTGGGACACTAGTATCTATATAATAAAGAGCCAGGGTTGTAACTACTGAAGGCTCGACCAGACTGGAAATCAGTGCTGGGTTTCAAGGGCAGTGTAGCACTGACTAGGGCGCTGTAGGCACCCCGACCCAGCACTGACTGCCTAGGGGGCTGCAGATCAGGCCCGGAGAGAGGCTTGCAGAGAGAGAGAGGCAGGGTCTGATCCGTAGCCTCTGTGGTAGCTGTTGATCAGAACTTGCCTCTCTTTCTCTCCCAGCCTGGCCAACAGCCGCGTCTCCATTTCTCTCTAGGCCTCCACCCGGGCTGCTGATGCCTTTCTGATCAGGCCCTGTGGATAGGCCTAGAGATGCTGACTGGAATAAAAACTGATCAATCAGAACCAAATCTGGGTGAATGTAAGGAGCCAATGGCTACATAGGAGGCAGAGCTTTTGACACTGACTGGCATAGAGACTGACCAATCAGAACCAAATCTGGGTCAACTGTGAGGAGCCAATGGCTGCCTAGAAGTTGGAGCTTTTGACACTGACTGGCATAGAGACTGACCAATCAGAACCAAATCTGGGTCAACTGTGAGGAGCCAATGGCTGCCTAGAAGTTGGAGCTTTTGATGCTAACTGGCATTGAAACTGACCAATCAGAACCAAATTGGCCGCCAGAGGAGGGCAGTTGGGGGTGAGATCAGGCCGGCAGGGGAGGGCAGTTAGGGGTGATCAGGTAGGCAGAGGCAGTTAGGGGCAATCAGGCTAGCAGGGGAGCAGTTAGGGGTGAGATCAGGCTTACAGGGGAGGGCAGTTGGGGGCAAGATCAGGACAGCAGCGGAGGGCAGTTAGGGGTGGTCAGGAAGGCAGAGGCAGTTGGGGGCTCGATCAGGCCAGCAGGGGAGGGCAGTTGGGGCGATCGGACAGGCAGGTGAGTGGTTAGGAGCCAGTGGCCCAGACTGTGAGAGGGGTCCCCGATTGGAGTGGGTGTAGGCTGGGCTGAGGGAACCCCCCCACTCTGTGCATGAATTTCATGCACCGGGCCTCTAGTGGTTATTACAACCAGATAACTTTCTTTGTAATTGTTATTCGCTGATTGTGCATTTCTAATGATATACTCTATTTTCTGTTTTGTATTTGGGAGATACATTTGGGAAATATGTTAGTTTTATCAGCAATAAATTTACAAATCACATCTTGAGGTTTGCAACTTTTAGAAATGGGTTGTTACAGACTTTTGATTTAAAGTGTACAATTTAGCCTTGCCTGTGCAGCTCACTGGTTGAGTATTGACCTATGAACCAGGAGGTCAGGGTTCGATTTCAGGTCAGGGCACATACCTAGGTTTTGGACTCAATACCCAGTGTGGGGCATGCAGGAGGCAGCCAATCGGTAATTCTCTCTCATCACTGATGTTTCTATCTCTCTCCCTCTCCCTTCCTCTCTGAAATCAATAAAAGTATTAAAAAAAGAATAAAGTGTACAATTTACTTTTGACAGTGTGTATTCCTATAAAATATTTACTGCAATCAAGAGATGATTTCTATGATCCCTAAAATATTTTTACTGCCCCTTTATAGCCCATCCCTCCCTCTACCCCTAGCTTCAAGATATTTCTGATTTGCTTTGTATCACAAGAGGTTAGTTTGAACTTTATATATAAATGGAATCATACATTTGTCTCTGGCATCTGCCAGTCAGTATAATAATTTTTGTATTTATTCATGTTGAAGTCTGTATGAGTAATTATTTCCATTGCACAGATTAAACAATTTGTTTATCCATGAACCTATTGATAGGCATTGAATTCCTTCTGGTTTGGTGCTATTGTGTGAAAAAAACTGCTATAAACATTTGTGTTCAAGTCTTTGTGTGAACATATATGTTTTAATTTCTCTTGGATAATAAGTACAAATATGTCAATGCAAGAAACGTCCATGGGGGACATTTGTAATAGTGTCACCAATAAAAATAAAATAAAACAATTTTTTAAAAAGAAACATCCAAACTTGTAGAGAATCTTTATATGAATTTATTTGAGCCAAACTTAGGACAATTGCAGGGCAGCAAGATCTCAACTGTTCTGGAGAATGACAGTTTTGCAGTTTCTTTTATGGTATACATTTGGAATAGGGGGATGAGGTAAGAAAACTTACATGGAGGTGGGAGAAAGCAAAGCAGGAATTTGATTACAGGATAGTTATCAAGATTATGGGCTTTCTTGAGGGTGGTTGCTTCAGAGGGACTTGAAAAAAGATAAATACTCTGGCATTTCAAATGTTTTAATTCAGATGCCTAAGAACAACTGGGCAGGTCTTGCTTAAGGTGAAATAAACTTTTTACTAAAAAAGTGATATGCCTCACCATTACTCACCATGACATGCCCATTTAGGAGTTTATGATCAGATCACCCTGTGGGGTTACTTTCTGCCACTGGACTTACTAGTTTTATTATAGAATTCCTTTATCATTCACAAATGGAATGGCTGGCTTGTGTGGCAGATGTGTGTTTAACTTTTTAAGAAATATTTTGTGAGAACTTACATATTCAACTCCTTCTGTTTATCTGGGCTCAGATAAGGATACTAAATCCATCAATTTCTCTAAGTAAAAGGCAGGAAAAAAATCCTTATCCTCCCCAAACCTGGCTCACATACTTCCATATTTAATTGCTTATCAATTCCTTTGGGTTCCTAAAATAATTTCAACATCCTTCTTTCCATTTCTCCAGCCCTACTGATACCATCTCAGGGTATCTATTTTGTACCCAGTACTGTGCTAGGTAATGAGAGGGCACACAGTTAAAGGGGCAGCAAAATAGAGACCCCCTCCTGCAGCCTCTGGCGACAGAGCTGAAGTGACCACAAGGAAAGACTATGCTGTGCAAACTCTTTGTGAGAAGTCTTGGGGCTGCATTCCATTTACTTGATTCACATGCTAGAGGAAATATTCCACCTTTGTTTGAGTGCTAGGTGTAGCTATTTACTTATTTTTAAAACAGGTGTGGCTGTTAAATGAAGAGGAAATGTTTTGTGAAATCTCAAAAAGGGGAGAAAGAAAACTTTTCTTTAGACTAGCAGTTCACAAAGCGTGGGAGGGGTACTAATAACAAGAGTTTTTAAAACGTTAGAAATGCAAATGTTGGGCCTCACTCTAGACCTACTGAGTGAAACTCCGGGTGTAGGATTTTTCCATTGATTTTCAGAGAGTGTAGAAGAGAGGGAAAGACAGAGCAAAATATCAATGCAAGAAAAACACATGAATTGGTTACCTCCTGCACACCCGCTACTGGGGACGGAGCCTGCAACCTGGGCATGTGCCTTTGACCAGAATCGAACCTGGAACCTGCAGTCCGCAGGCAAACGCCTGAGCCAAACGGACAAGCCATCCAGGTGGTTCTGATCGAAGCTCAAGTTTGAGAACCACTGTGCTAAGCTCATTCCAGGGATGTAGGTGGTTATCTTTAGGATGGGAGAAGCGTAAGTCCTGCGTAACTGGGCAGCAGGGTAACGTTAGCGCAGCGCCAGGCCAATTCTGCCCCTCGCCTCTACCAGCACCCTCCGCTGAGCCCAAGCTCTCGGACTTGGGTGCTTTTCCCTGGGAGCCGTGGCCAAACCCTGGTAAGTGGATTCCGACTGGGCTGGCCTGGGTGCCGGACGGGCATGCGCAGACTGGCGAGCGCAGCAGAACAGCGAGAGCAGGGAGGTAGCGGCTGGACCAGCGCGGTAGGTTTGGGTGCGCGGCGGTGGGGTACCAGGGGAGGGCTGGACACGAAGGCAGAAGACAAAGCCTCACTTTGTCGCTGGCTCACAGCGGCTAGCGGGGGTCTATCGGGGTTTCCCTCGCTCGCCTGGTGGCTCAGGCGCTCTCCTGCCCATTTTGGACAGGCTGTAGCCGGCAGGTGTTACACTGTGTGTTTATGCTGTTTACACAGCCTGAGAACTGTGTTATGATTATCTGCATGAAGTTAGGTTTTTAGTTAACTTTGCTGTTTTCCTCTTTCTCTCAAACTTTGGGTGGATGGCTGCTGCTGAGGCTTTCAAATCCAGCCTGTTTCGCGTGAATTCTGTGACCGGTTTACGTGCCTTTGGACTTTTGGTGCATAGGATCAGTAGGGCTGGAGTGAAATCGTATCCGCGGTTTCTGGTTTTGGTGCCTTTCCTGGAGCAGGGCGCTTCTGGGTGCGGCATTAAAAAAGTAAACTTACAGCGAATTTCAGAGTCTAAAACGTTCTGTATTTTAGCAACATTTTTTATTTATTGATTTTAGAGACAGGAAGGGAGAGATTATTTATGCATTCATTGGTTGATTCTTGTATGTGCCACAACCTTAGCATACCCCAGGACACTCTACCAGCTGAGCTACTTGGCCAGGGCTAGCTGTATTTTTAAGTGGAGACTCTAAAATTTAAGACATTACAGCCCCACCACTTACTTTTTTACCTTACTGTTATTTCAGGCCTTTTTTGGTGCTATTAAAAGGAAGTGGTCTTTTGAAAAAAGAAATACTTAATCATTTTTTAAAAATGCTTAAAAAATATATTTTTTTATTGATTTCAGAGAGGAAGGGAAAGGGAGAGAGAGATAGAAACATCAATGATGAGAGAGAATCATTGATAGGCTGCCTCTTGCTCTGTCCAGTCTCAATCACTGAGCCACTTGTCTGGGCAGGAAGTGGTGTTTTAGGTGAGTAACAGTTCTCACTTTTTTTCCTTTTCGTTACTTTGTCACATTTTGTGTCTCATACAGAGATATTTTACACTGGGGCTGCGGAATTGGTTATACTCCTACAAGGCTAAGGCTGTGCTGCACAAATTTCTTGGATAACCTATGAACCATAAACAAAAATTTAGACCATGGGGTACATACACACTGAATATTATTTAGGTTAAGTGTTAAATTTATGATGGGGGGGTATATATATATAGAATTAATAAGTTTAGGAAAAAGAAATTTTTAGTTCTGGAAGAGAAACCTATGTGGGAAAGGAAATACAGATACCTGTCTTTCCCTTCACCCCCCTCCCCCCCCGCCCCCCCCCCCCATTGAAGAATGTTTTAATGGCAGAAATAATATATAGTTGGTTTAGTTTTAGACTGTAGAGACCTTCCAGGTCAGCTAGTTCAATTGCTTCAGTTTACAAATGAGAAACTGAGACCGATGAGGTTAAATGACTTACCGTGGCTGCTGGAGCCCCTCCTTGGCAAAGCTGGGCCTGCGACCCAGGTTTTCTGATTTTCGGGGCTCTTTTTACCATCCCCCTGCTGATAACTCTCTTCACAGTTTTCAGCGGTGGGCAAACTATGGCCCGCGGGCCGGATCCGGCCATTTGAAATGAATAAAACTAAAAAAAAAAAAAAAAGACCATACCCTTTTATGTAATGATGTTTACTTTGTATTTATATTAGTTCACACAAACACTCCATCCATGCTTTTATTCCGGCCCTCCGGTCCAGTTTAAGAACCCATTGTGGCCCTCGAGTCAAAAAGTTTGCCCACCCCTGGTTTAGATTGTTAAACATCTACATCTTTATACTGTGTAGTCTGGCTTAACCAGATAATTAGTTATTCCTGCTACTCAACTTGCTAGTACCTTTTAAAGTTCTTTCAAAAAGTATCCTCTCTCTAAAATACACACACACACACACACACACACACATAAATAAATAAATACATATAAATATATATAGATATAAATATAAATATAAATATAAATATAAATATAAATATACCCTTTCACCCAAGTCCCACCTAACTATTTGCTGGTCTTGAAACTGCTCTTCTTTCCTATCTCAGTCACATTGGGCCAGACTACCTGTTTACTTCCCTCCCTGAAGTCTTGCCCATACTGCCGGGATAGCTCAGGTATGACGTCTTCTTAGAAGCTTCCCTTGATTACTGTGGCCAGAAAGTAGCTCTCCATGTTCTTAATCCTCTAGCATTTATTACTGTTTTCTGTGTTGCTAGAAGGCACCTCATCTTTAGATTTCTGTATTTTTGAATTTTAGCACAGTCCCAACTTCTTGACCAGTTCGTAAGCTCTTGGAGGTTAAAGTCTATGACTTAGATATCCCACCCAGCAGAAAGTACAAAGTTTGTTTTCAGCCACTGTTTGCGAGAGGGAGGAAGTAAAGCACGAATAGTTTTTAAAGGAATTTGATGTGGATGTTGTGTAATATAGGAAGGCCACCTTAGAGCTATAGCAAGAGAGTTGTCAAGTCAAAACAGCTTGGTGGGGTGAGTCTCCTATTTTGATGGGAGATCACACATCAGTTAGGAAAGTGTTGGGGACAGAGGTTGCCCAACATAAGAGGGGAGTGTAGCCTGAGGCCTGGATTTAAGCATGTCACTCCAAGTGCAGAGTGGAGAGCACAGATTTAAGAAATGGTGTAAAGGAAAAAGCATTTGGTAAAAGACTGGATGCAGAAAAGGAAAGACATCTTGAAAATTACTTTAGTTTCAGGCTTGGTATGTTGGTAATGGGTTGTAATGTTCTTTTTAAAAGTCCCTCCAATCATGACATTCCTTTTGTTTCTTACAGTTACTGGTGTGATTGTCTTATTTCCCATTCTAGATGATAAGTTCTTTGGGGGATGATCTTTAACACCTCATAATGCCAGGCACAGTAGCTTAGTTGTTGCATGAGTAAATAAATGAAGAAATAGTGTATTTTGACAAGGAGAGGGTGGGCATTTAGGATCTTAGAGCTGTGAAGTATCACTTTATCCAAACCACTAACTAAGGTAGTTAGTGGTGTAACTGGAGCTTCTACTCAAGTTTCCTCATTACTAGCGCCATGCTTGTTTTGTTGACCCTTCCTTTTCAAGGTTGTTGACCCTAAGATGAAGTTGAAATGGCAGCAGGACACTCTAGCTTGAAATGTTTTGTGGATCTAAAGCCCTTGGAGAGCAATCTAAAGTGGGAACTTGGTGGCCAATGGGTGGATGTCTGTCACTGGAAGAGATGAGATAAGGGGTGACTGGTCAATTCAAGGTTGGGTGCACAGAGTGAGGAGGAGGCTGAGGCTGGGGTTTGGGGTATCTGCACTCGAGGGAGTTGAGGAGGAGTCTGGAAAGGTGAGTGTAGCTTAACTTGTCAGGACAGAAGACATAAACAGATCTACCCGAAGTCCTTGGGCTGAGAGTATATTTGGGAGAAACATTCCACACTACCAGGAAGTGGTGAGTGATAGCCATGTTGTTTATGACTCAGGAAAGTGGGGATAAGGTTGAGAGAGAGAGAGAATTGTGATCAGACTCTCTACTTGGAAGAACAAGACAGAAGGCAGTCCTTCAGAATCTCCAATCCCATTTTGGAATACTTGTGGGATTTTGCAAATCAAAACACAGCCTTTCCATTGAGCTGCACACAGCATTGAGCGAGCTGCTAGCACCTTCACAAGCAAGTTGATCACTGTCTTCAACTGCCAGTTCTGTGCTTGTCATAAAAATATTAAGAAGAGAGAGCAATTGAGGGGAGAGACACAGTTTCCTAAGGGGAAGTGGAGGGTTGGGCACGTATAGCGGGATTACTTTTTTTTAAAAAATTACGACTTTAGTCAAAATTGATTGGACAGCCAAATGAAAATCAGGTGGTATGTTGAGGTTAATGTCTCATACATTTAAAAATGCCCAAATATTGAAATCTAGAGTTATATACTACAATCTTATGTAAAATGACTATATTATGTAACCTTCTCAAAATAATAAAGGTAATATTAGTAATTAGTATTATAGAATGTTTTCCATTACCAGTGTACTGAACACTTTATAAGCAATATGCCATTTAGGCTTTACAAACCCTCCTGTGAAATTGGTGCAATTATTATTCCTGTTTTACAGATGAGAAAACTGAGGCTTAGATAAAAATCACATTTCTGAGGTCACACAGTTGACAAGTGGCTGAGTTGAGCTTTGATCCCAACCCTGCCTGACTTCAGGCACTGAGAGCTTAAATAACTTAATCAAATATCTTAAAATGCAAAACTTTATCGGTGGCAACCCTAACAGATGCTTAGGCGTCCATTGAGAATGGTCACAGATTTTAGCTGGTGAAACTCTCAACATTCTATGAGCCAGACTTTAATCTGAGGAACAAACAACAGTGATGAATCTTTCTGTTTTTTTTAAAAAAATTATTCGTAGTGGTCTTTATCTCCTTTATACTCTTGGAGCATTCCTAGAGGCAGAAACAGCACCATAAAGCTATTTCTGTTCTGCTCCCTCCTTTCAGGAGGAACTGGGGTGGTAGAGGTTAGTTGATATTGATCCAGGAGATACCTCAGGGGTTGGCAGTGCGTGGGAAACTCTGCACATGAGCCTGAGGACTGTAGAGTGGCCCAGTTTGTAAGGACTTCCCCCCCTGGGGTGGTGGAATCCACTGCTGGAATCCTTGGAATATCTGTGAGTCTTGACCCTTCCCCTCATCTCAGGCCTGTGAACTGGTTAGAATGCCCAGGGAGAATCCAGACCTGAGCACCTTCTCCTGGGAGCCTAGAGATCAGGGAGCTCTGAAGTCAGTGTGGACTTGTTGCAGTTGGAAGTGTGTGTAGATACCTCAGGTAAGGCTCCTGTTTAGAGAGTAATTTAGAGACAGGACTATCAGGCCCCAAATTTGACCAGTGAAATTAGCTGTGAGAAAATGCTAACCTCCCCCTCCCCACATGAACCTAATTAATCTCTTTTGAGAGTTTCAAAATGGAATCCAGCTGAAAGCATTCTCCCCTCCCTGTGCTAGGTGAGCCTTCTTTCCATTACCTGCTTCTACTTCATCTTCTCCTGGGTAGGACCTGTGTTCAGATGTGAAAGGAAAGGACGCCCGCTTCTGACCTCTACCTATTACTCGTCTCAACATCCAAAAACTCATCACATCACCCAGCTCTTTCCCTGAACAAAGGTGTGAATCAACATTTTATTTTGGATCATGATAAAATCAGGGAGAAGGAGAAAGAGGCCTTTGTGCTCCATATAGGTTGATCAGTTATAAAATGGTTATACAATTTGATTGCTGGAAATTTTGCTGACATATAAATCACTTGAGATTTGAGGCTGTGTTAACTTTAATCATCTTATTTCTTTTCAGTACTGCTGTGTCTGAAAGTTCCTGTTTGCCTTTTTTTTGGTGAGAAACACATACCATGGCTTCTATAAAAACAAGTTGCTTTTTAGTAATACTCTGCACACAGAAAGGGTGGGAATTAGAATGGTGATTAAAAGAGTTTTTCTTTTATTTAAACACTTGTTTCATGAGAATGTATTTTATTTTCTAGTACACTTACAGATAACTTGCTCATAAAGCCCAGTTGTGAAGGGGACTTTAGACTTTATAATAAACTAAATTTGTATGGCTTACTCTTTTGAGCAATCCAGATCTATAAAACTATAAGAATATTGGGATAACTGACTGCATACAGATATGCTGCACAGAGGAAACATGAGAAACTGTCTTTGCTGATAGTAAGACAGATGAATGTCTTATTAAGGTGGAAGAAGTTTGCGGGGGGTGGGGGTGGGGGAGGGGCTTCTTTGTGATAAAAAAAGTAAAAGGTTTGGGGGGATGGTTTACCATAGAGACTCAAAATATTGGAGGAAATTAGATTTACTTTATTATTGAGAAACTCAATAAATTAAGTTGTTTAAAGGTCCAGTCCCAGGAAATAACACATCTTTTATTAAAAAATGACTAAAGCTTCTTCAATTTGTTGGAGAACCAAGAAACACGAGAGCTTACCAGTGCTGTCAAAATAGAATTTGGATTGAATTTGAGTTTAAAACATTGGCAATTATGTATAGGAAGATTAGTCCTGTTAATTACACCTTGGGCCAAAGTCTACTTGTCTAAACCTTCTCCTCAACAATGAATTCCCATGTGGCACCCTCTGGACTGATGAATATATGAGTAAACCTATCCCCATGGATCACAATTTTAAAATCCAAAGTAATGCATGACAATCTAAAACTGGTGTTGATCAAGCAATTTGAATGCCTTAGAAAGTTCCAGCTTTATTCACATATTGTTTCCAAAGCTGGTGCTCAGACTCTAGGTCAGCCGTGGGCAAACTACGACCCGCAGGCCGGATCCAGCCTTGAAATGAATAAAACTATTGAAAAAAAAGACCCTACCCTTTTAAGTAATGATGTTTACTTTGAATTTATATTAGTTCACACAAACACTCCATCCATGCTTTTGTTCCGGCTCTCCAGTCCAGTTTAAGAACCCATTGTGGCCCTCGAGTCAAAAAGTTTGCCCACCCCTGCTCTAGGTTAAATTGTTGAAGTAAAAGAGAAGCAGGTTCAGAACTGACTCATTCACAGTGAATGATCAAAGGCACAAACAAGTAGACTTTGTCTCATTTCACTTTATCATCTTAAAGATATTTTTTATGGCTATATTGGTTTCTTTCTTTTGGCTCTCAATAATATATACTCACTGTGTACTTTTATAGAAAAAAATCAATACAAACTAGAATTTTGAGGTTTGATAAATGAATCTCTGCTTATGGCTTTAATTAATGCCATTCATCAATAATTTGGCAGAAAGACTATATCAAGTTAGTAGATAGTTGAACCTTTAGCTAGATATGAAGTTAGTACTTATAATCTTTGAGAACAAACCAACAATTCTCAAAGGCTCCTGTGTTTTTTCGCCTCAACAGCCTGTCAGCATTCTGTTATTGTGAAGTCTCCCTTTCTTTCCTCTCTCCTCAGCTTTCTGTTCATTGGGACACTCTTTTGGTCCAGGGGAATGTTTCTAAGAGTGGCCCAGTTCTTAAAGAGTTTAAGAATATTGCCATGGCCGGGTGGCTCAGTTAGTTGGAGCATCATCCTGTACACCAAAAAGTTACAGCTTCGATCCCCAGGAGGCAATTGAATGATGTTTCTCTCTCACATCGATGTTTCTCTCTCCCCCTCCCCCTTTCCCTCTCTCTAAAATCATTTAAGGAAAAAGCCATATCCTCAGGTAAGGATTTTTAAAAAAGTATTATCAGGTCAGTGAGATGTCAACTGTGAAACTCAGTTCACAAAAACCCAATGATGTTTTTTAGCAATAGTTGTCATGCTAATGAATTAATTTTGGAAAAATAATGGTAATAGCAATTTGCTTGATCCCTTTTTTTAAATCCCAAAACAGGCCACATAAAGCAGGATCACCATCAGTGGAAAGAAGTAACCTAAGAATCTTTGAATGTTTAGTGGTCAACCAAAGTGAGCTGCTTCCGATAATTTACAGTTCAGAGATCTGAGGTCATTTGGCCTATGATCAGGGCTGTGGATGGAAAGTCAAGGCCTGTGATTCTGTTTCTGACCCCACGAGAAGGGAGGTTTGATGATTAAACAAGACATTGGATGTGAAAGCAATTAGTAAACTGTAAGATAAGGAAGTAAGGTATTTAATATAGTTATAATAAATGTCTGACTTTGCTGTCTTTCACTGATAAGTGGCCAAGACTTTGAGAATGACTTGCCTGTTTGAGGTTACTTGGCTTGGAAGTGGTAGAGATGGGACTCACATTTGTGTCTTTTAATTTGACAGAATGTCAGAGCTCAGCATTGGGACCACAGTGAAGGCCTCCTAGACAGGTCTAGGGTCCCTATCCTCATGGAACTTCAGTGTAGCCCAAATCTAGTGCTCTTCCAATTAATCTACATTTTTGCCTTTACTGACCAGAGGGAATAATTGCTTGCAATTTTATTTGGTTTTTATGAAATCCTATATGTGTTTTCTGACTGTGGAGCTTTTAAAGTTACATCTCTGTTGCCATAGGTGCCTCCAATGATTGCTCCCTAAACTTCAGATTCACTCGACAGGATATTTATTAATTTCCACTGTGGAGAGAGGGGTTGGATGCCTCTCAGCGTTCTTTTTGTTAATCAGAGGCTTGTTTCAGGAGAGTATTTTCTCTCTTCTACACAAAATCAAAGGGATGTGACTGAGTAAAGGGAACTGGGCTGGGGGCAGGGCTATAAGTGAGACATAGTCCTTGCACCCATGGGTTCTCAGTCAGATGGAGGACACAGAGATAGCCTGTGACATGAGTGGGCACCAGGTGGAAGCATGGAATGAAGCTTTGGGGGAGCATAAATGGAGAGTAGTTAATTCTGTTCAGTGGGTTGAGGAAGGTGTTAGGACTTTTGAGCTGAGCCTTGAAAGGAAAGTACAAGTTCAATATAGAGTCTAGTAAGAGCATTCCATGGGGGAAGAGACATCATGAACAAAATCGAGGAGACAGGGAAGAGCTGGCCCCTTCAGGAGATTGCTGGTACTTTAATGTGTTCTAAAACCCAAGCATGATAAGAATCACCTGGAGATGTTGTTAAAGAACAGATTGCTGGGCTCCAACTCCAGGATTTCTCATTCTTTAGGTCTGGGGTGAGGCCAGAGAATTTCATCTTAGCCTGTTCCCAGGTGATGCTGAGGTTGTTGATCTGGGAACCACCTGGCTAGAGTATAGGGGACAGATGATCTAGAAAAAAAATTGTTTTCTTGAAACTTTACTGTCACAAAATAGATGGTTCAGGGTGGTTATTGTTGTTATTGTTTTGTTTGTTTAATGAGTATAATTTACCAAGTGGTTGCTGCCTTGTGCCACTTGTTGCAGTCTGGAAGTTTCTTATCTGGTTCTGTATACACCACCACCCCCCGCCCCCCGCCACACACACACACACCCTTCCTGGCTAGTTTTCCCAAGAAACCAGCCCTTTTCTTTTGTTTCATGTTTTAAAGTAACTGTTGTTTAGCCAGTGTGACCATTCCACTCATGGAAAGCTGAGTAGCCAACATCAGTTGGATGATGTTAGGGGGTGACCTAAACCAATTATGAATGACTGGTGTACTCAAGGAGTATGTATTTGGTTTTTATTTTGTTAATTCGTGCATAATGTTAAACTTTTTCAACAAGTATGTTTGGAATGGCTAGAACTTACACAATTGCATAAAGTTCCTTCCCTGCCCTCAAAAAACATGTAGTCTTGTAGGAAGGTTAATTATGTATGAATTCATGGCTCCAGTACAGGGCAGCTGGTGCTGAAAGCAGTAAGAATGATAGAAACCAACTGTGCTGGGAGGGTAGGTGGGGAAGGGTGGGTGGGTGTTAAAGAGATCAACCAAAGAACTTGTATGCACATATGTATAACCCATGGACACAGACAATAGGTTGGTGAAGGCATGGGATGGAGGACAGGGGTGGAGAGGGCTAGAAGAGGTCAATGGGGCGGGGGAGGAGGGAGGGGCATGTAATACTTTCAACAGTAAAAGTTTATTTTTAAGTAAAAAATAAAAGGAGTTATTGAGAACAAAAAAAGAAAGAAAGAAAACAACTGTGACAGAACTGAGAAGGAAGGTTCACTTTCCAGTGGAACCATTATGGCAGAGTTGAGGGGATGATGATTTATGCTGTCTTCTGATGTTTTATGCCAGTGATTTTCAACCTTTCCATCTCATGGTACACATAAACTAATTACTAAAATTCTGCCACACACCAAAAAGCATATTACATTTTTTGCCTATCTGACAAAAAAATAGGTATAATTTTGATTCATTCACACTGGACGGCTATTGTGTTGGCTGTTGTCATATTTTTATTTGACAGTCGCAGTGGTTCTCAACCTTCCTAATGTCGTGGCCCTTTAATACAATTCCTCATGTTGTGGTGACCCCCAACCATAAAATTATTTTCATTGCTACTTCGTAACTGTAATTTTGCTACTGTTATGAATCGTAATGTAAATATCTGATATGCAGGATGTATTTTCAGGGGTCGTGACTCACAGGTTGAGAACCGCTGGCTAAGGGAAAAGAGGTCAGTGCCCCTGACTATAAATAGTCAGGTATTGCATGTTTTAAAAATTCTGCGGTACATTGAATGAAAACTGTTTTATGCATCTTTGTAAGCCCTCTGAAATGAGGGAGCATATGTCTACATGAAGAAAATAATAGGGGATGGAGCATTTGAATTTGGCATTGAAGGACAGGCAGATGCTCACCAGGTAGAGTGGTCAATTGGGGGAGGCCTAGGAAGGGGCATTCCAGACAAGGGGGCAACTGAACCTCAGAATAGAGGTACAGCAGGGAAGTGTACATGCAGCCATTGGTGAGGACTCTGGCTGGGAAGTACAGGGAGA